GAACGAAAAAAAAAAATTGGAAAACTAACTAAAGTGAAGCAAACCAGTAAAATTACGTTCTATTTTTATTTTAATTTTCTTCTCCGCAGTCCATTTTCTTACTATTTTAATTATTAAAATTAAATACATAAATTAGAGAAACAATTATTTTTCTATAATAATAATAATGGATAAATAAATTTTCTAACAATTGCTCCACTTTAGATAGCATTATTTAGTTTCTATGGCTAGATGATAAAAAAAAGTCGTAACGTTGTTTAATGAAAAACAAGAAAAAAAAAAAAAGATTTGGTAAATTAAAAAAAAAAATATGTATACTGCGTAAAGAGTGCCCTATCCCGATTGAAGTGTGTTATTGAATTATTAATTGTAATATTGTATCATAAATTCCAAGTACCATGCCCAGTATTTATAAGTATTAACTGGATTTAAAAAGATGAAAAATGATACACGAAGAAAAAGAGCATTGCACAAAAAAATTAATTAAGGATAATTAGTAATTAGGCTCCATTGACTAATTAACTAATTACTAATTACTAATTAATAATTACTAATTTATTAAATTGACTCTAACTATAATAATAATTAAACAATTAAATAAAAAATCAAATAACATTATTTATTACTATATAATTAATTAATTAATTAATTAATTAATAGAAATGATTAATTAATATATTAATAATATAATTTATATTATTATTATCAATAATAATTGTAGACTTTTTGCTTTTAAATTAGTAAATTTTACTAATAGATTTGTATAATTACTATTTTTTAGTAAAATGTACTAATAAATTAGTAGAAATTTTTTTTTAGTTAAAATTTACTAATTTAAAAGCAAAAAGTCAGTAACAAATTCAAATTAGTAAACATTCTTACTAATTCAAATTTAGAGAGTAATTAATTAAGTTTTTATAGTAGAAATTAAAATTCTGTTCGAGGAAAATTTTATTGAACTCATTAATTACGTTGAACAGTAAAAATGTATTGAAGAAATCTATTGAATTAAATCAATTGTGTTGAGCAATAAAAATTAAAAAACAAATTTTTTAGATAATTAATTATGTTAAACAGTAGAAAAACTAAAAATTCAAAAAATTCTGTTGATATGATTAATTATGTAATTAATTATGTAATATTAGTAAAAACGGTTAACAAATTCTATTGAACTAATTAATTATGTTTGACAGTAAAAATGAATTGAAAAATTCTATTAAACTAATTAATTATATTGTATTAGTAAAATTTTTTTAAAATTCTATATTGAACCTAACGAATTAATTACTTTTAACAATAAAAGTAAAATAATTCTATTGAATTAATTAATTAAGTTGTATAGTAAAAATTAAAATTCTATTGAACTTATTAATTACGTTGGACAGTGAAAATAAAAAAATTCTATTGAACTAATTAATTATGTTGTATAGTAAAAATTAAAATTCTATTGAGAAAAAAATTCTATCAAACTTATTAATTTTGTTGAACGATAAAAAAAATTCTATCGAACTAATTAGGTTGTATAGTAAAAATTAAAATTCTATTTAAAAAAATTCTATTGAACTAATGAATTATATTTAAAAAAAAGGGAATTAATTAATCAATCAAAGTCGAGTAGTAAAATAATTTGATGAGAATAATTCCTGGAATATAGTCGATTCATTAGTGTTAAGAAGTTCATTACGTATTCATTACAAATTCATTGCATAATTTCATTACAAAATTGCTTCTACTACTGTATTATTAATAACAAATTAATCTCCTCGAAATTATCTAATAGTAAAACGTGCCTATAAAAATCTAATTAAAAAAATATAATGTATATTATAAAATAAAAATTTACGTATTTATCCTTAGATACGCATTAATAGTTAAAATTAAAAAAAAAATTTTGATCAATTCCTCTCGTAAATATTTCTATTATTAAAACTATAAAAAAAATCGACATAATATATTAATTAAGTACGTATTATAAATTTTCAGAATTAGTTTTGTAACATATAAGATTATCATTATTATTATTATTGTAGAATCAAAAAGAAAAGTAGATATCACACGATTTTCTACCCTCTTCCAAGTGATATTTTAATTCCTTAATTAGTAATTATATAAAAATATATACTAGAAAAAAAATTTAATGCACCTGTAGTGAAAATTTAGAAAATATGTAGAAATATTTTATTGTTCAATAAATTTCGAGGAGATTTTCTAATTTCTTGTCTTTTTTTTTTTTAATTCAATTTTCTTTTCTTTTAGCAATTTTGAGAAATGTTCTTTTTTTTCAAGTGTATCAATGAGAAAAAAATATTAAAAAATACATAAAGCGAAAAATATTTGTTTATAGGAGATTGAAATGTTCAAATTTATATTACTTATTTGCCAAAAAAGAAGTAACTATTGAATTAATTTTTTTTCAACATAAATGCAATTAAAAACTAAAATAAGACAAATTGAAAATTTAAAGAAAACAAATTAAAATTTAAAACGAAAATTTAAAATTAAAACGAAAATTTAAAAATTAGAACAAAAAATAGAAAATTAGTTCAATATTTGTAAAAATTAACTGGAAAAAAAATGTCGACAGAAAATTTAATTAATAAATAATTTTTAGTAATTATTTTTTCCAAAAATTAAAAAACTCATGAATACAAAAAAGTATATTAAAAAAAACTATATCTCAAAATATGAACGAGTAATTTTATCTCAAATTCAAATAGAATTAGATTTTGAGAAAAAGTTTTTACGCAGAAATAAAAAACAAACTGTTTAAAGAAACAATTTTTAAAAAATAAAATTTTCGTCTCATGAAATTTCAATCTCAAAAAAAGTCGACAGAGATATTTTCTTGAAACAAAATTTCCAAAATTATAATTATAATTACAATTACTACAATTATAATTATTATTATAATATCATTAATAATAAGAATAATTATTATAATAATAAATTAATAATAAAAATAATGAATAAATAATTATTATATAATTATTAAAAAATAAGTTCTTACTTCAAAAAAAATGTCCTCTTTTCTGGCAAATAAACTCCGCTACGAGATTTATAGAATAACACTAAGAAAAAAAAACTTTAAGTGTAAAATAATTTAAGAAAAAAAAAGTAAATGTGGCATTACTAACTTGATACCCATTGAGATCTCATATATTGCAAAAAAAAAGTCTGACGTTCAATCAGCTAATAACAAAAAAAATAGCTGAGCCGTCGAATTTTAGTCCCCTTTCAAGAGAGGAAAAAGAAAATCTTTGGTACAACACCCATGTGTTTAACAAAGCCATAGACTGCACGAAATATATTATGTATATAACAATTAAAAACGATGCATTTCAATTTTTATTTCAATCCTTTTCCTAATTTATTTTTCAAAGAAAATTATTTTTTTAATATTTATTTAAATATTATTCAATTTATTTTTCAATAAGTAATTTATAAAGAAAAAAAATTAATACCCACAGAAAGAAATTTGTGAAACACTTTATTTATTTGTTAATTATTGTTTACTAGAGATATTTTTATATTTATTATATTTTATTTTATTATTTATTTTATTATTTTATTTTATTATTTTTATTTTATTTATTTATTTATTATTTATTTATTTATTTATTTCTTATGTATTTATTTATTAATAATTGGAATTATTAGTTAATTGTTCGTATCAATTAATCTTATTAAAAAATGATAATTCAGTCGAAACCGTTTATTCCGTATTATTGCGTATTATTCCGTATTATTCCGTATTATCGCGTATTATTGCGTATTACCGTGTATTCTTGCGTATTATCGCGTATTATCGCGTTTTATTGCGTATTATTGCGTATTATCGCGTATTATTGCGTATTATTGAGTATTATCGTATATTATTCCGTATTGTCGCGTATTATTTCATATTATTCCGAATTTTTCGTATTATTTCGTATTATTCCGCATTTTTCCGTATTATCGTGTATTATTCCGTATTGGCGCGTATTATTTCGTATTATTCCGCATTACTTTTTGTTATTTATAAAAATAATTGGGATTTTTACGAGAACTTTTTTTCAAATTTTGAACATAGTTGAATTTTATAAGAATTTTATTTTTTTTTTGTAAATAATTGAATTTCTGCAATTATTTGTAATTTCTCCAAAATTGAATTTTTTTACTATTTTAAACAAAAATTTAAATTAAAAAATTTTTAAATTCTGTTATTTTTGAAATTTGCTAATTTTATTTAAATTTATTTAAATTTATTTAAATTTATTTTTTTATTTAAAAAAATTAATTTTCAAAATTTTAAAAATTCTTCGAAACAATTTAATTTTATCAAAAAAAAATAGTAAAAATCTTTGCAAAAATTCAATAATTCAATGTTTCATTTCAATTATTAACAAACACGATTATTTTTAAAAACTTAAAAGAAATTGTTCATAAAATTCAGTTATTTTAAAAATTTTTAATTAAATTTATTAAAGAAACTCCATTATTTTAAAAAAAATTGAAAGAAATTCTTCAAAAAGAATTTAATTAGAATTATCAAAAATATGAACAATTACTTTTCACGAGAATAATAAAATTCTCGATAAAAAAATTCACGAAATAATAAAAATTCTTCGAAGGAATTCTATTATTATCAAATTTTTTGATAAAATTCTTTACAACGATTATTAATACAAATAGATTTAATGAATAAAATTTTCATAAACTATCAGTGAAGATAATAAGCTAAAAAAATAATTTGACACAATTTTTAAAGAAATGTTTATTAGAAATAATAATTATTTCCAAAAATACAATACACTTTTTCTTTCTCTTCAAGAAAAAAATGTTTTAATATCATATTTACTAAATTCAACATTTTTTTTTCAAAAGTCTCTTTTAAAATTAATTTATCTTTATTTTCTTATAATTTCATTATAAAATTAATTGCAGTAAAATTTTCTACACTTAAATATTTCTGAATTGAATCCAGAAAAGATTCTCAATTAAAAAATTAGGAACATTTCCTCTAAATAATAAAAATTCTCGTTTATTTTACAATAAAAAAATTTTTAAATTTCCATATAAAAATAATAAATTTCTCTCCTTTCTTCTTTCTTATTTTTTGTTCGAGGCATTTTTTTTTTATATCACTCTCTACAATTTGAATTTCGCCGCCCTGACAATGGGGAATTTATCACCATTGCAAATACCACGGAAGTCGTCCAAGGACAATTCAAAAATCGCAACACCGCCAAGTCCTTTGGCTTTAGCGTAAAGTGCTTTATTTCCAGCGGTATCAACGTCCTCGTAGCCAACCCAAATTCCCTCCTCGCTCGTTTGATCGTTATATTTTTTATAGGCGTAGCTTCCATATTTTTTCGATGGATCGCCAACTCTCCTCAGTCGATCGACGGCACTCTCCAATATTCTTGAACAAATTTCCGCGTAACCAAGAACACCAGGTATGTGACTGTGAGGACCCTCAGTGCCAGGACCCTCGGCATGAAGTGGCGGCACACCAGACACTTCACTCTCCTTTGTCAATTTCCACGTGCGTCCAAACGTCGGGATTCCAATTACAATTTTACTTCCGGGCATTCCATTTTCCAACCAAGCTCTAGGAGACGAAAAAAAAAAGATTTTCTATTAACATTTTTTTATTTCATTCGAAAAGATAATTAAAATCATAATTAATTACTATTACTAATTAATAATTCAGAAAAATTGTTAATTACTATTACTAAAAATTAATTAAACTACTATCACTACTAATTACTACTATTAATTATTGATCATTAAAATAATAATTAATTATTTAATAAAAAAACAACCGAGCGATAAAATCATATAATATTTTAATAATTAATTAATTTACGTTAATAATTATTAACTAATTAATTAATTTAATTTAATTTAATTTAATTTAATTTAATTTAATTTAATTTAATTTAATTTAATTTAATTTAATTTAATTTAATTTAATTTAATTTAATTTAATTTAATTTAATTTAATTAATTAAATTAATTAATTAATTAATTTTATTTACTAATAATTAATTTTCATTCATTTTGAAAGAAAAATTTAATTAATTAATTAATTAATTTTATTTTATTTTATTTTATTTACTAATAATTAATTTACGTTCATTTTGAAAGAAAAATTTTTATCGTCACCTCGTTTGATAGTCGACATTATCATCCGTAACTCGGCCATAACTTTCGTAAAGTGGAGCCGGAAAATCGGCTTCCTTTGGATTACGTTCTGGAGTTTTTTGATCAAAGGTCATAAGATGAACGGCGTCTAAATTCGGTGCCAAAAGTCTCACGTCGTAATAAACTAAAAAAAAAAAATTTTCAAATTCCAAAATTTCAAATGAAAATTATCGATAAAGAAGGAGAATGATAAAAAATAATAAAAAAAATATATAATAATTAATAATTAAATAAGCGATTAAATATGTAAGAAGTGAATAAAAAGATAAGTAAAAATATAAAGAATAACTAATTAATTAAATAAATAAATAACTAAATAGTAAACAAAAAATAATAGAATAGAGAGTAAAAAAATAAATAACAAGACAAAATATTAATAATTAATAATAATAATAAATATAAATAAATAATAAATATAAATAATAAATATAAATAATAAATATAATATAATAGAAATATTATATAAAATAAAAAATAGAACAATAAAAAAAAATCATTTATAAATAATAAAATAGAGTATAAAAATAAATAACAAAACAAAATCTAAACTAATAAATTTAAAAAAATACAAAAATAGTGAAAAAAAACGAGAAAACGAAAAAAAGTGGATAATCACGTAAGCAATATAATTAGCATTATTAAAAAAAAAAAATAATTACCACTCGAGTTAACATGAGGTAAGACAGTTAAAGTAAGAGCCTTGTTTCTAGCTCGAAGTTGATTTTTCAAATCGCGAACAAGAGCGGTGAAACCATTACGATGTTCCTCTTCTTTTTCGTCCTTGAATTTTCCATAACCAAATGTTTTCTTCACTTTATGCCAAAATGAACCAAAAGTACCGCGTTCCTTCTTTACTTTAACTTCGGGGAATTGCCATTCCAAATCGACTCCATCGAATTCATAATCAGACAATAGACGACCAACTGAATTGATGAATTTTGTCCTCGCCTCTGATGTTTCAGTCTGTTTTTTTAATTTTGCGAAAAGAAATGAAAATTTTTGTTTAAAAAGGCGGCAGATTATTGGGGAAAAAAATTCATATTAAAAATTTCTATTTTACAAAAGAAAAATATTTTTCAAACTATCATTTCTTTTAATGTAAATATGTTTCATTTTGTCTATTCTTAATGTGAAATATTTTATTTTGTCTCTAAAAATTTAATTTGATATTTTTTTTAAAGACAAAATGTTTTATTTTGTTTCCAAAACATTTCACTTTGTCCCTAAAATATTTCATTTCTACTCTAAAATATTTTATTTTTTCTCTAAAATAATTCATTTTGTCTCTTTTTTTAAAAGAACTAAATATTTTAATTTGTCTATAAAAAAATTTATTTTGTCTGTGAAGTATTTCGTTTTGACTCTAAAAAGTTTTATTTTGTCATTTTTTAAAGACAAATTATTTTATTTTGTTCCCAAAATATTTCATTTTGCCTTTCAAATATTTCATTTTGTTTGTTTATTACTTATTAGCGTAAAATATTTTTTTTTCTACAAAATGTTTCATTTTGTCTTTTTTTTAAAGAAAAAACAAAATATTTTATTTTGTCTCTAAAATATTTTTTTTCAATTCTAAAATATTTTATTTCTTCTCTAAAATATTATATTTTATCTTTCTGTAAAGTCAAAATATTTCATTATAACCTTAAAAAATTTCATTTTTCTCTAAATAGAAATTTTTGTTTTTTTTTTAATGTAAAATATTTTATTTTGAATCTAAAAATTTCATTTTGCCTTTTTTTAATGTAAAATATTTTATTTTGTCTCTAAAAATTTGATAATTTTTTAAATGCAAAATATTTTATTTTATTTTATTTCTATAAATTTTACTTGGTATTTTTTAAGGGTAAAATATTTTAGAGACAAGATGAAAAATTTTAAAGGCGAAGTCAAACATTTTAGAGTAAAAATGAATTATTATACAGACAAAATGAAATATTTTGGAAAGACGAAATAAAATATTTTGTCCTTATAAAAAATACAAATTTAAATTTTTAGAGACAAAATAAAATATTTTACATTAAGAAAAGACAAAATGAAATATTTTGGAAACCAAATAAAATATTCTGTCCTTATAAAAAAAAATACCAAATTAAATTTTTAGAGACAAAATAAACTATTTTACATTTAAAAAAAAAGGCAAAATGAAATATTTTAGGGTTAAAATGAAAATAATTTACAGACAGAACGAAATTTTTAGATTCAAATTAAAATATTTTACATTAAAAAAAACAAAATAAAACAAAAATTCATATTTAGAGAAAAATGAAATTTTTTAGGGTTAAAATGAAATATTTTGACTTTAGAAAAAGATTAAATATAATATTTTAGAGATGAAATAATATATTTTAGAGTTGAAATAAAATATTTTGTTTTTTCTTTAAAAAAAGAGAAAATGAAACATTTTAGAGTAAAAATGAAATATTTTGGGAATAAAATAAAATAATTTGTCTTTAAAAAAATGACAAAATAAAATATTTTGTCTTCAAAAAAAGCAAAAAATGTTCCCCCAAAAATAAAAAGGAAATAGCTACAAAAAAAAATCTCGTTAATTTTTATTATTGACTCTGAACAGAAGCAATTTAAAAATTGTCAATTAAAAAAAAAAAGTCCCACATAAAGAGAAGCAATAAAAAAGAAACATTAATTATATAAACACAAAAATGAAGCAATTTTCAAAACAACTTTATTAAAATAATTTTTTTTCCTATTTTCGAAAATAAAGATCATTACTCACGAGCGTTAAATATTTATGAGTTTCCTCATATGGATCAGCATTACCACCAATTCCAAGATAAACTTTAAGATCGGGGAAGTTCCTCTTCATTTGCGTTACCAATCTGTAAAAAGCATATCCAGCGCCAGTGTCTAAATTTGGATTCAATGGAACAACATCAAATGAATTAGCATCGATTCCAGCGAATCCATAGATTAAATGTGTACATAATGACAGTGCTGGTCGAAGGTCTTCGACAATAAACTTTCCAGGTCCTTGAAAAATTAAGAGACAAAAAAAAACAGAAAAAACACATTATTTGATTAAAATTATTAATAGACAAAATACAAAAATTTTTATTAATAAATATTTTTGCAAGTATGACTCATTTTTATATTTCTATCTAAGTTGAGAAAAAGTGTGAAGAACAATTTTTTTTCTTCATCAAGGATAATATGAATTATGCAAAATAATTTTGTTATTATTCTATTCAACCGGTTTGTATTTTACTTTTTTTTCTCTTCAAGCAACGTCTGATCTTGTCCCAGTAAATAATGTACAAAAAAAATTTGTTATATTTTAATGTTAATTTATTAAATTCAATTATCTACTTTTTTTTATTATTTTATTTTTAATATTTTTTAATTTTATTATTTTTCTATTTTTCTATTTATAGTTTTTAACTAAATATTTTTCTATCTAATATTAAATCCTTTTTTCATAATCATTTTTATTTACATTTTTTATATATTTACAATTTTTTAAATTCTTTTTTTATAGGTAAACATTTTCAATATTAGTAATAAATAAACGAAAAAAATTTTCAAAAATAAATATCAATAAGATTTTCGTAATTTTTTAAATTAATAGTTAATAAAATTAATAGTTTTAAATATAAAAAACAAAATAGTTTTAAAAATTATTTTCCTGTTCCCCGTCTAATTGAAAATAAAAATTACAATTTTCTTAAAATAATCTTGTTTTTCAAACTGAATATAGTTTTTCAATTTTTTTTATTACTTTTAAAGCCTTACTTTGTTAATATAATTTTTAATAATTATCAAATAAAATTATTTTTTCATTATTTTGCAACATTTTTTAAAACTATTATTATTTTTGTTATTATTGTCCCATTTTAATTGACAAAAAAAAAAAATAAAAATTACAATTTAATCGTATTATCAAATAAAATGATTTTTTAATTATTTTACAACATTTTTTTAAACTATTGTAATTGTTATTTTTATTATTATTGTCCCATCTAATTGACAAAAAAAATTACAACTTATTCGAATTAGTAAATAAAATAGTTTTTAAATTATTTTTTTACCTTAATTAATTAATTAAAATTATAATTTTTTTAACCTTTTGTTGTTATTATTCTTTTTTTACCTTTCAGAGATTAAATAATTTTTAAATAGAGAAAAAAAAATGGTTGTGAATAGAAAAATAAATAAATTATTATACAAGAGCAATTTGAAGAATTGTTTATTATTGGAGTAATTTTTGAATCAACATATTGTGTAGTTAATTTTTAGCACTTACCTTGACGTTCAAAGGAAGTTGAATTCCAATAGCAAACCACTTTATTATGCTCATGAGGATCTACTGCACTAACTTCATTATTTAAATGTGCTAACAAAAGCCAAATGGCCAACGACGACACGATAAACAGCTTCATTTCTTACAGCCTTAAAAAAAATTTGTTTTTTTCAAAATTAATCACATAATATTTCCATCAATTAATAGATAAAAAATTGGTTAAAAAAAATATAATAAAAAAAAATTGAAATTCAACACTATTCAAAAATTTGTATTCCTAAAATTGTTCCTTATTATTAAAAGAAAATAATTTACGATTATAAATAATTTACGAGGGAGTAAAATGAAAAAGGATTTTTTTTTTAAACAAAAGTAAATTTTTCAATCGAACTTTAAGCACTCAAAAATTATTTACTTCGTTTATTATTTATTAATGAAAATTTGAAGCAAAAAGAAAATAAAATTTCCGAAAAAAAACCTATTTTGAAAATAAAGTGAAAATAGACCTGATTTGTTACTTAAATTGTGAATTAAGTTTTTAAATAATTTAAATTAAAAGGTTTAAATTGTAAATTAAAGTTTCAAATTGTAAATTAACTTTCCAAATAGTAAATAAAATTTTGAAACATAAAAGAAAAGAGTTTAAAAAATTCCGAAAAGAAAGAAAATAATTTTGAAAAATTTTTCCTTCACAAGAAATGAAGAGCAAATTCAGCCTACCTTCAAAGCTGAAAGAACACGACTGGATGAAACTTTAAGGTCGTTTGAAGACTTTAGGATAATAATTACGTCATCATATATCTCACTTACGAATGCTTATTTTTTTATTTTCACAGCAACACTCATACTGTATTTTTATTTATATTCTATACACTTTATATACGATTATTCCAATGATTCAGTTTCTTCACACTTCTCTGACAATAATATTATTCACTTCAACGCACTTTCTTTCTAAAATAAAATACCAGAAATCAAAAATCCAGAATTTTAGATTTTTAAATTTTTAATTTAATTTAATTAATTAAATTTTTTTTTTTTTTGATTTTTTTATATTATATTAAATATATTATAATATTATTATAAATAATCTATATAAATCATAAATAAATGCAAAAAGTGAAAAAATGTCCTCGTTGCGAAATTATCTCGAAAGCAATTATAATAATTGCAAAAAATAATTTTAAATTCAATTCAAGTATATTCTTTATGCATGGAGGAAAATTTCGTGCATTTTTTAAATCTTTGTTGATTTTGATATTTTTCGGGCCTTGAGAAAAACTATAAATTTTAATCAAATGGCGTAACCTTATTGCCTTATCAAGGCTACACTCATAGATTTTTCCCTCTCTTCCCAAATGAATAAAACATTTTCTTAATTCTGTTTTTATCCATGTAAAGTGTAAACACACAAATTTCGTAATCGATAAATGAAAACAAAATTTACAAGAATAGTAACAAAAAAAAAAAAAAAAAAACAGTCCCGAAAATGAACTAAATGTAAAAATAAAATATTTTCAAATATCCCGCAGTAAATTGAAAAAGTAAATTTTAATTTATGTTTAATTTATTCATTTGCTTTATTATTAATTTGAAATGCAAATTTTCTGTAATTCAATAATGAATAAATTAGATATTAAATCTCTGCTCTCATAATTCGGATTATTAGTTTATTTTTTATTTAATTATTAGTAAAAAATACTATTGGTGCATTTATTAATAAAAATTAATAATTCTGACTAATTGAAATTAATACTATTAATTCATAGAAATTAATAAATTTAGTTATTGTATAATTAATTAATAGCTATGAAGTATGAACCGAAATTAAATAATAAAGAAATGAATTAATAAATAAATTTGTAAAATCAATAAATTCATCTATAGATTTATTAAATAATAATGAAAAAATTGTTGAAAATAATTATATTAATTAACAAATATAAATAAATATAAATAAGTATAAATAAAAATAATCTATTTATTTACCTATTTATTGGTTAGACGATTTTAGCGATAATATGCATACGTCAGTGTCAAATGATGTAATTTATGACTTTAATAGCTGAGGCTAATACAATCTCAGATCGAATTAATTTTTTTGATAATAATTTACAGAGATTTACCTTAGCATTGCGTAAATAAATTAAATAATTATCATGAACTCAAAGTATTTCATAAATAATTAATCTTTAAAATTAAGAATTCATTATTAAATTTATTAAATAATAAATATATCTGTTGATAATAAGTTTATTAATTAATAAATATAGATATATAAATATTCAAAAAAATAATTAGTGAATTTATTTAATAAACTTTTTCATAAATAAATAAATTAGTTTAAAAAAAATTGATTTAACATACTATTTATTTAATTTAAAAAGATTAATTTAAAAAATTTAAAGAGTAAATCGTGTGAGAAAATAAGTATTGTAGTTTTCCATGTGAGTAGTTCATATTTTATTTATAGAGAATGTAAATTGTTTAATATCATTTTAGTTTGAGAGGAACGAGATCCTAATAAGATAATTTGTCAATTGAATGTGGGTATATGTGTCACATTCAGAATTATAGACGATGTTAAAAAAATATTGGATACAATAGTTTCACAACATATATTTATAATATTTTTTAAAGTGAAAAACAATTTTTTTTACTCTACGATAAGATAGATATATATTTGATAATCTTAAAAAATTTATTTCAATTTGTTTTTAATATTTCAATTTTAGAAATAAATATATATTTTGTATTAAAAATTAATAATAGGTAATAATAATAATAATAATAATAATAATAATTAATATAATTATAATGAATTATTTTTGTAAATAATTATATTTTTAATAAAGAAACAGTTTGCATTTGGAAAAAAAATCTAGTTCGAAAGAAATTTGATAACCTCCATTAAAAGTTTATCCATTAGTTTATAAGTTCGTTGTAACTGTTGGACTTGAGCCCTTTGTAAAATTAAAAGCAAATAGATAATTTTCTCATATAGAATTATTTACTCATCTAAGCCCGAAATAAATAATGACAATTTCGACCAAAATAATTTTCAATTCCACTCGTTCTTTAAATTAATTAAATGCAGAATAAATAAAAATATAGTAAAGATTTTAAAGGTTGTTTTTGTTGAGAATCCACATTTATTTAATTTCAATTAAAAATTGTTAAGCTAAATACATAAAAATATATTTATTTATTTAATTAGTATCAATGGACTTTCAAAATAATAATATTAATAATATAATAAATAATATATTAACGATAATTACAATCATAATAATTATAAGTATATATTATAAATTTATAATAATCTAATTAATTTTTAAATAATATAATTAATAATTGCAATTTTTTTTTATTTATTAAATTTATTTTTATTTATTTATTATTTTATTATTAATTCATTCATTCATTCATTCATTCATTCATTCATTCATTCATTCATTCATTCATTCATTCATTCACTTCTTTCCCCTTGTGGAACAAAAAAGATAGAAAAATATTCTGGCAATGGAATATATAGTAATATATTTATTAGTCAAAAAAAAAAGCCTTTTAGAGAAACTTATCGAATTAGAGTATTCGGGGGAATTTTCTGAAGCGACAAAGCGAGAGTAAATACCAAAAAAAACTGTTTATCTTCGTTTATCGCTAAAATATTTACGATCTCAGGTCGAAAGATCATTGCATCCAATTTACGATGAGACGAGTTATGAAAATTATTTCGCGGAATGACTAAATCAAACTATCTTTGTGTCACAATTACATAATTCGTCTTTACAATCATTCAAATATAATAACAAATTTATAACAAATAAATTTAATAAACACGTAAGAAAATATATTTTTATTAATAAAATTTTCTATTCTTTTATGATAAAACAACAAAATTAGTCAAATTTTTTTTTGCTTTTATTACAAAATGAAAGTTATGTACAATTTGCATCGCAGTCATTAATATTCAGAAGATCTATACCTATACAAATATTACACTATGTTCATATACATAATAATAATAATAATAATAATAATAATAATAATGGTAATAATAATAAAAATAATAATAATTATAATAATAAATTTTTAAAATTAATATTTAAGTCGTATTGCAATTTTCTTTTTGCATAGTTGCAAAAATTTTTCATCAATCCTTATATTATAGTTAATTTTCATCATTTCCGTCAATAGAAGAAATAAATAATTTGTACACTTAATCAATAATATATATATATTTTTTTAAGTAAAAAGTTTCGTAAATTTTATTCTCTTTTTTTTTAATACTATCATGTAAAAAGTCTCTTAATTTTAAATAAAAGAATTTATAATTTACATATAAAATAAATTTTAATTTTCAAGTAAGGAATAGTAAGTGTAAAAAAATTGCAAAATTTCATTCATATAGTTTTTTTTCTCTATAGTCTTTTTTTAATATAGCTATCTAGTAGGCGCATTTCTTTATAGGCTTTTAATCGTCTTTAAATTATGGAAATATTTCTTTCTTTAAATCAATTCATTTTGTTGTTTAATTAGAATGTATGTGGGTGTCTTATCTTTTAAAGAGTAGACGGAAAAAAATAATTTCCATTAAAATGGAAAATGTTCATTGAAAAATTAATTGCGTGAAAATAAATTGATTTACAGTTATGTATCTATTTACAGAGAGAGAGATTGACACTCGTATAACAAGCAATTTTAACTCTTTTTCTTTGCCAACTTGGAAACTTTCCAATTCTTCTCGTTTTTTTAATTTTTTTTTTATTAATGTTTCTCGGGTTTTAAATTGTTTAAATAATCCGGTTGATCGTCTTCGTCTGAAAAATAAGAATTGCGATTTTGGTAAATAATCGAATAATTAAATAACTAATTAACTAATAAAATGAAAAAAAACTAACAAAAATAATTAATAGACGAAAAAAATTAACAAAAATAAATAAAATTACTAATAATGAAAAATAAACGGAAATTTTTCGACTAATATAATTAATAATAATTAATAATACTAATAATTGCAATTTTAATAACTAATAAACCAATGACTAAACCAATTAACTAATGAAATAACTAATAACTAAATTAAATGAACAATAAAATAAATAAAGAAAAGAAAATAAATAAAATAATAAATGAATAAATAAATTATTTAACTAATGAAATAAACTAATAAATAAATAAATAAATTGAATAATAAAATAACCAATAAACTAATAAATAAACTAATTAACCCAAAAATTAACCAATAAATTAATAAATAAAGTAATCAACTAATAAAAAGTCTGATTAACTAATAAATAAAATTAAGTTATGAAAATAATAAATTTTGATTAATCGAGAAATTTTCAAGTTATTTCAATAAAAATTAAAGTTAGAAAATTTTTATTTAATTATTTTACCACCAGCTTCGTCTTCCTCTTCTTCAATTCGAATATCACTATTCTTGGGCTGTTGATCTCGATAAAATTCGTCATTATCATACTGATCATCCCCAATTTCACCTTGATGAGCCGTATCATCTAATCTGAAAATTTTTATTTTTATTATTTTTTTTGGCAAAAAAAAAATTATTTAGTTAATTTTTCTAAATGAAGAAAACACTTTAAGAAAATTATAAAGAAAATGCAGAGAAAATTTTTTAAAAGGAATGTAAGGAAAACTTAAAAGAAAATATGAAGAAAAAAATCTAAAAAATACTTTAAAAAAAAGGAAAAACAAAGAAAAATATTTAGAAACAAAAGAATTGGAAAATTATGAAGAAAACATTGAAGGACAAAGATTTAGAATCTATATGAAAACAAGGAAAAAATTATAAAAGTATTTGAAACAACACATAAAGAAAACGAAATCAATAAAATATTGTAATAAAACGAAAATAATGGAAAGAAAAATAAAAAAAGGGAAAAATATTGGAAAAATTAAGAAAAAAGTAGAAAAATATTAAGAAAACATAGGGAAAAAAATCAAGAAATTATTGAAAAAAAAATAAAAATAAAAACTAAATAAAAAAATATCGAAAGAAAAAGAAGCAAGAAAAATTAAAACAATAATTAAATAAATCAGGAAAATATTAAAAAAGGGAAAAATATTAAGAAAAAAAAAGAAAAAAATAGAAAGAAAAATAAAAAAGTTTGGGAAATAAAGAAAAAAATATGGAAAGAAAATAAAAAAAGAAGAAAGGAAAAGATAAACAAAAAAAATGGGTATCCGGACAAGAAGTCCAAAACAAAAAATCTAAAGTAAATGAAATCCAAAAAAGTAAAAAAAAAAAAAAATAGTTTCACTTTGGACTTATTTTTTTCGATTTTTTGTCCTGCTCAAAAATTTCAAAGATATTAAAAATCCAATGAAAAAAAATTAAGATATAAAAATTAAAATGGTTGCCTTGAATGAAATTGTCCTTTTTTTATGCTCATTTTAATGACTGTGAATCGAAAGTAGGTAAAATTTAAAATGTAATTAAAAAATAAAAAAAAATGTAATTAAAAAAAATTGTTTAAATTTAAAAAAATAAATTTTTTAATTTAAAATGTTAACATTTTAAATTTCTGAAAATAATTAAATTAATCGAGTAATTTAATTGGAATTATATTGAAAAAAACTAAATGAATTTTTTTTTGTAAAGAATTTTATCAAAATTGTTGAAAATAAATTGTATTTCTTGAAATAATTGTTATAAAAATTTTACACAATAATTGAAATTCTTCTAGAAATTTTTTTATTTATGAAAATAATTGAATTTTCGTGAAGAATTTTTTTTATTATTGAAAATAATTGAATTTTTGTAAAGAATTTTATCAAAATTGTTGAAAATAATTGGTATTTCTTGGAATAATTGTTTTAAAAATTTTTTTAAATAATTGAAATTCTTCCAAAAATTTTTTTATTCATGAAAATAATTGAATTTGTGTGAAGAATTTTTTTTATTTTTGAAAATAATTGAATTTTTGTGTAGAATTTTATTATTTACGAAAATAATTAAAATCCTGCGATTATAACATTAACATTTTAAATTCTGATTTTAGAGCTAGTAAAAGTAAAAACATGGCTTTTTCACATGTTTTATAATTTATTTTTGAAGTTTTTATTTATTTTCGACTTTTTGACTTTAGACATTTTTATTTTGGATTTTTTGTACTTTGGACTTTTTTTTCGTGGATTTTTCGGTCTGAATTTTTTGAATTGGATTTTTTGTTCTCTAATCAAAAAAATATTGGGAAAGCAAAGAAAAAAGTTAGAAAAATATTGGAAAAATAAAAAAAATAGAAAGAAAAATAAGAAAAGGAAAAATATTCGGAAATAAGAAAAACAAATAAAAAAAAATCAAGAAAATATTAAGAAAGAGAAGAAATGTTTGGAAGAACAAAGAAAAAATAGAAAAATATGAAGAAAATACAAAGAACAAAAATCAAGAAAATACTAAGAAAGAGAAAAATAGAAAGAAAAATAAAAAAAAAAATATTCAAAAAAAGATAATTTACTATAAATAAAAAAAACTCAATTATTAATATAGAAATAAAAAAACGGAAAAAATAATCATCTTTCTGGTTTGACTTCCAACAATAAAGCTACTTTGAAAATACTTCGAAAATACTTTGAAAATAATTTTAAAATACTTTGAAAACATTTGACAAAAAACACTAATAAAAAAAAAATAAGAAAATATTACAAAAAAGAAAAAAATAGAAAGAAAAATAACTTTTTTATTTTTAATAAAAGAGTTTAATAATTTTTTTCCCCACAAAAAATGAAAGAATAAGAAACAAACAAGAAAACAATTTAAGAATTCAAGAAAACAAATTTTTTTCCCCTCAATTACTTTCTCCAAATTTCTCCATGAAAAAAAAATGTAATTAATTTTTATTTACCCAGCAAGACGTTCAAGATGATGTGGCTCGTCGCCAATTTCCTGTACACCATGTTGAACCTTGGGCCATCCTGCATTAATTTGTCTGTCAATAATTTGTGCCCCATGTCTGTTTCCTGCTGGTAAATGCGCTTGAAATTCTAAATTTCCAATATCCACAGCAACTGGTTTCTCTTTAACACCATCAACATCTAAAATGCCATTTGCACCTAATGAATTTTTTATTACTTCCGAATTTTTTCTCAATTCGTCCCTCTTTTTCTCCTCATTATCATTTTTCGAATCCATTATTACTGGAATTGGTACAACGCCAATTGGTAATTTAACTTTTGCCTTTCCAATATTGTAATTTTGCTTCTCAATTGAAATCGAGGGTGTCGAAACTTTCGTTGAACTTTCAACAATCATACCCGGCAAAATTCTCCCAACAATCATTGCCGGCAACTTCTGCAAATGAGAAAATCAACAATTAAATTTTATCGAATTATATTTTTTATTTTCTTCTCTACTGATTATATTTCTTAAAAGTTAAAATCAATAGCATAATTAATTAATTTGTCACTAATCAATAGTAATCATAATTATTATAAATAATTTTTTTTTTCTTTTTAATAAATAATTTTTTTTTTTTTAATAAATAAAATTTTCTTTTCTTTTTAATAAAAAAAATTTTTTATTCCTATTTTCCTTTAATAATTGAATTTGATAAATTCAATTAAGAATTAACTCAATTCGAAATAAATTTGCTTTCTTAAATAACCACTTACCTCTATAAATAAAAAACAAAGCAGAAGCTTCAAATAAAAAGAGATCACTAAAGAAGTCCTTCTACCAAATCAAAACAAAAATCACACAACTATTAAAAAAAAGCTACAGCAGCAAACAAAAGATTCAAAGCACAACAAACGAAAAAAATACTACGAAGAATCTTGAAGCACATGCTGAGAAGAATTATGATTAATTATCAATTATTTAATAAATTTAATAATCACTAATATAACACAGAAAAATCACGTGTCTTGAAGAAAAGCTTTCTAAAAAAAAAAAAAATTATCAATGAGAATAAATAATTTTCCCAATGAAAAATTATTTATTTATTTTAATTTATTATCTTCTTTTTTTTTCACAAGCTATTAGTAAATAGTTAATTACTTTGCAAAATATTTTTTTTATCAACGAAGAAAAGAATTACTCTAAATTGACGAACAAAAAATTATTACAGACAGAAGATAGATGCGCAGGGTGCAAGAAAAAATACAGGCAAATAAAAATAAGATTCTTTTTATTAAATATAACATTCAATAACAGAGAAAAAAATTATTATACATTTATTCTTCAGACTACAATTTGTTTTTTTTTATTATTTCATACTATTTATAATTATTAAATAAAAATTATAATTAAATAATAATTACAATTATTATTCTAATTATAATTTCTATTCTAATTATAATTACTATAATAATTTTAATTACAATAATTGTAATTACTATGCTAATTAAAATTCGAATTATAATTACTGTCCCAATTCGTAATTCAAATTACAATTATAACTCTAATCGTAATTCAAATTGTAATTAGAATTACTATTCAAATTATAATTATTAATCTAATTGTAATTAAAATTTTAATTATTGTTCCAAATAGTAATTCAAATTACAATTATAACTAATCGTAATTCAAATTGTAATTAGAATTACTATTCAAATTATAATTATTAATCTAATTGTAATTAAAATTTTAATTATTGTTCCAAATAGTAATTCAAATTACAATTATAACTCTAATCGTGATTCAAATCGTAATTAGAATTACTATTCAAATTATAATTATTAATCTAATTGTAATTAAAATTTTAATTATTGTTCCAAATCGTAATTCAAATTACAATTATAATCGTAATTCAAATTGTAATTGGAATTACTATTCGAATTATAACACGAATTATAATTATTAATCTAATTGTAATTCAAATTGTAATTATTTGTTCCAAATCGTAATTCAAATTACAATTAAAATTACTATAATAATTCTTCTTCTAATTATAATAACCATTTGAATTATAATTCGAATTAAAATTATTATTCGAATCGTAATTCAAATTATAATTATTGTTCTAATACGTAATTCAAATTATAATTATTGTTCTAATTCGTAATTCAAATTATAATTACAATTACTACAATAATTCCAGTTTTAATTATAATTATAATTATAAATACAATTAATATTTTAATCATAATTAAGTAACCATTATTCAAATTATAATTATTATTGAAGTTATAATTATTATTTTATAATAATTATATATTTTTAATCAATTTACTCGTTTCTCTCTCATTACAACAAATCTTTCTGATTTCTAAACGAGAAAAGTTAAAAAAGAATTTTTCGTTCAAAAAAAAAAATTTAACAAATCCTTTCGAATTACCAATTAAAAAAAAAATCATCAAATAAAAAATTTTTCCATTATATTTCAGAATGCTAAAACAATGATTCAGAAAAAAGAGATAAAATATTACACTTAACCCATTAAAAAACAATATCTATTGCCATTTACAAAACAAAATATTAATTACGAAAAAACATATATTAAAAACAATCAGTCATTTTAATGCACACCATATTGTTTTCATGACACATAGTATATTAAAAAGAAAACAATATTATTTAATCCAATTTCCAAAATTATAATGCACACAATTCTTTTTTTTGTTCAAAACAACTTAAAAAAACATGTTTAAAACCATTTCTAAAAAATTAAAAAATATATTTAAAACCATTTTTAAAAAAGTAAAAAAAATTTTTTACCAACAAAAATAGAATTAGAGTATTAGAATTTAAAGAATCAATTAATAAGATAAGAATTAATAGTTATTGTAACATTGCCTCAAAGCGTTTGCAAAAATATTTCTCTAATTATCTCTATGTTCTATAAAATATAATTTATAAATTTCTATTTCTTTAAGTTTCCTTATCTATTTTGTTCTATTTGTTCTATTCTTTTTTTCTTCAAACACTTCATTCACTGGGAAGAAAGAAAATTAAATTATTAAAAAAAATTGTTATTTAATCAATTATTTACTTCATAATTTACTCTCTTATTAATTATTATAAAAACATTAATTAAAATAAGTTTTTTTTTTCATTAACTATTTATTAAGCATGTATTATTAAAAATATATTAATTAAAAACAATAATCATTTTTATTACATATTCTCTCGATCTGAATTAGTAGTTTACTGTTTTTTTACGTTTCCTATTAATTTTATTTTTTTTATTTAATTCATTAATTTCAATTTTATTGTAATTTTAATCTGTTTATTAATTAAAGAGTATAAATTTGTTTACCAATCAAACGCTCAACGATTTAACAAATTTGAATTAATAAAATTGACTAATTTCACTAATACCTGAGGTTATTTATTAATTAGTAAATTTTACTAAATTTGTAGCAAAAAAACTATCAATTTTATAGTAAAAAATATTTTTTTATAGTGAAATATCAACGAATAGATTGATAAAATAATTAATAAAATGGACTAATTTCACTAATTAGTGAAGTTATTTATTAATTAGTAAATTTTACTAAATTTTGTAGCAAAAAAACTATCAATTTTATAGTAAAAAAATATTTTTTTATAGTGAAATATCAACGAATAGATTAATAAAATAATTGATAAAATTGACTAATTTTACTAATATTAGTGAAGTTATTTATTAATTAGTAAATTTTACTAAATTTGTAGCAAAAAACTATCAATTTTATAGTAAACAATATTTTTTTATAGTGAAATATCAACGAATAGATTAATAAAATAATTAATAAAATTGACTAATTAAACTAATTAGTGAAGTTATTTATTAGTTAGTAAATTTTACTAAATTTGTAGCAAAAAAACTATCAATTTTATAGTAAAAAAATATTTTTTATAGTAAAAAATATCAATGAATAGATTAATAAAATAATTGATAAAATTGACTAATTCTACTAATTAGTAAAGTTATTTATTAATTAGTAAATTTTACTAAATTTGTAGCAAAAGAAAAAAGATCAATTTTATAATAAAAAATATTTTTTATAGTATAATATCAACGAATAGATTAATAAAATAATTAATAAAATTGACTAATTTCACTAATTAGTGAAGTTATTTATTAATTAGTCAATTTTACTAAATTTATAGCAAAAAAAACTGTCAATTTTAGAGTAAAAAATATTTTTTTTATAGTAAAATATCAACGAATAGATGTTACTCTATTAATGAAGAAATACTTTACTATCAAATTAGTAATTTTCTACCAATAAATTAGTACCTTCAATAAATTGAATTAAATTATATTAAAATTAATTTACTAATTTATAGTAGAAAACTGCCAATTTGTAAAAAAATAGTAAAATTATCACTATTTCTGGTAGAAAACTACTAATTCAGATTTAGAGAACAAATAGTAAATAATAATTGATTAATTACTATAAAATTAGTAGTTTTCTATTACAAACAAGTAAAATCCTCACTATTTTTGGTAAAAAAATACTAATTCAGATTAAGAGAGCAAATAATTAATTACTATTAAATTAGTAGTTTTTTATGAAAATTAGTAAAATCATCACTATTTCTGGTAGAAAACAATTTAGATTTAGAGAACAAATATTAAATAATAATTTGATGAATTACTATTAAATTAGTATAGTTTTCTATTAAAATAAATGAAATCCTCACTATTTTTGGTAGAAAACTACTAATTCAGATTTAGAGAGAAAATAGTTGAAAATAATATATTAATTTTAATTACTATCATAATTAGTAGCTTCCTACTAAGAATTAATAAAATCCATACCATTGGAAAACAAAACTCTAAACTCTAAAATTAGTATAAGACAATAACTAATTCACAATTAGAGAGTAAACAATAAATAACAATTAATTGCTTTTGGAATTAAAATTAAATTCGCAAAAATAAAATAATTTCATTTTCAGCTAAAAGTTAATTAAATTATAAAGCTAAAATAAAATTAAAAATTTCATTTTCTGTTAAAATATTATAAAAAATAGAACAGTATAATAAAATCTATTATAAAAATAGAAATAAAATAAAAATTTCTTCCTCTTTTCCCAATGAAAAGTGTCTATTCTTTTTTTTTTTGTACAAAGTCAAAGTGTCATCAAAACTATTTTCACAAAATTTCCAAAACACTAATCTATTTTTTTTCTCCAACTAAAGAAGAAAAAAAAAATGTCAACATTTTCAGAAAGTTAATTATATAGATAAATTAACTTTCGAGATAAACTTTTTAAATGCGATTCAATAAACTTTTACAGCTTCCTTTTTATATTCAGTCTCTAGAGAGAAGTGTATTGGGACAAATTTTCTTTTATTTTTCTGCTCTAAATTAATTTATTATTTCTCTCTATTGTCTATTTGTAAATGCTGCATTGTAAATGTACATAAAATAATATATAATCTAGAGCAGCGAGTAGAGGTATCGAGTGTAAAGTACTTTTAATTGGCAGGAATTGCTCCACTTTAATTAGAGTCTATCATTGAAAAGACCAAGCACCCTGTCATTCAAATCTTGTAGTTCATCGACATCTCGAGGACTTTCGTTGTGCCTCGGCTTATCAATGGGCGATTGCATCTCTTTGTCATTTCTCTGCGGTTGAATTGGAGCCAATTTTGGTCCTTTTGATGACGATTTTCCATTCGGCATTTTCAATACTGGATTATCATTATTTTTATTTTTTTCATTATTATTTTTAGCATTATAATTTTTCTCATTATAATTTCTATCATTATTTTTATCATTGTATTTATCATTGTATTTATCATTATATTTATCCTTATATTTATCATTGTATTTATCATTATCTTTATCATTGTATTTATCATTGTATTTATCATTATCTTTATCATTGTATTTATCATTGTATTTATCATTATCTTTATCATTATCTTTATCATTGTATTTATCATTATATTTATCATTATTTCTATCATTATTATATTTATCCTTCTTATTTTTCTCATTATGATAATTATCAACTTTACTCTTACGATAATTATTAACATTACTATTGTGATAATTATCATCATCATCATTGTCATTATTTCTATTTTGATTAAATGGCAATTTATTAATTGGACTTTCAATTCCTTCGATTTCATTGTCTTTGTCATCGTCGGTGTTTTTATTTTTTTTCGAATTCTCATCGTTTATATTGTAGGGAACGGGTAGAACCATATTTTGTTGATCCTTTAAATCGTTACGACCAACTGGAACGATATTTCCGTCCTTTTGAGCAAATGCAATATCGCTGATTTGCTCGTTTGGTAATATACCGTCATTTTTCTCGTTTAAATTATTATTATTATTATTAATATTATTATTATCGTCGTTTCCCTGCTCGTGTTCTTGTGGTGCCGGTAAGGGTTGAGGAATTTCATCATCGTTGTTAGGACGACTTACCTGTTGTTGTTGTTGTTGTATTGGCGCTGCGACCTGATCATTTCCACTGTTTCCTCTCGATTTTTCATTATTTGATTCCTGCTGATTTTTTGATGCTGCTGCATTATAGTCGGAAACGATTTTTTTCTAAAAAAAAATTGCATCATTAATTATTTGTCCCAAAAATTAATTAATTATCTCTGTAATAATTAAAAATAATTATTAACTATAATTAACTATAATTAACTATAACAATTTGAATGTTCTTTCATTAATTCACTTTTTCTGTCCCTCACACTCTAAAGTTGTCGTTTGTTTATACTTTTGTTTTTTATTATCTTTAGATAGATTGTATATTATATTATTGTTACAAATATTTTTATTCTATTTTAATTTTAATTCATTTTATTTTAATTAATTCAAAATTGTAATGACAAATAGAAATCATCAGAATTTTTTTCACTTCTTTTTATTAAAAGACTAATATTTTGTTAAATATCATGTTTTGTCAAATTGAAATTATGCAGATTTTTGTTCTCTACTTCTAAACAAAATTAGAAAATTGTTAAACAATTGCGATTAAGAAATAGAAAATTGATTTATTTTGCATTATTTTTCTTTATGAATCACAATTTTTTTAATAAAATTATTATTTTGTTTTAGAAAAAGAAGAAAAATATTTGCACAATATTCCTATTTTTAATCTTATTTTTGGAACAAGATTTTCGACAAGAATTAAGAAATTCAAAAATTTCAAATTCAAACCTTTTTTAAAATAAACAACTTATAAAAGTATTTGTTATAAAACATGAAGATATCGATTGCTCCGAGTCGAAGACTCGGAGTGATCGATTTCTTCATGTTTTTATAATAATTAAAAATAACTCAGAGTTAAAATTATTATTTTATATAAAAATATTGTTTCTCTAACTTCTTCGAAATTATTTTCATCAATTTAATTCAATTATTATTTTCTAAAATTTTAAATTATTTTTTATGAAAATAATAATTAAATTCCTTAAAAAAAATTTATTAATTATGAAAATAATTGAATTCCAGTGAAATTTTTATTATTTATGAAAATAATTAAATGTTTGAAATTATTTGTAATTTTTCCAAAATTGAATTTTTTTTTAGTGTTTTCAACAAAAATTTTAATTAGAGAATTTTTAAATTCTATTATTTTCAAAATTGCTAATTTTATTTAAAAAAAAAAATTATTTATTCAAATATTTTCAATTTTAAAATTAATGTATTGAAAATCATCGAATTGTTGCAAAGTTTATCAAAAAATTTGATAATAGGTAATATGAATTCCTTCAAAGAATTTTATTATTTAGAAAAATAACTGAATTTTTGCGAAGAATTTTATTAAAAATTTTTTAAATCTTAATAAAATTCTTTTGAAGAATTTCTTTGAATTTTTTTTAAACTAATAGAGTTTCTTTAATAATTATAATTGACAATTTTGAAAATTATTGAAGTCCTGAGAAGAATTTTACTATTTATAAAAATAATTGAATTGTTACGAAGACTTTATTAAAACTTTAGAAAATAAATGAATTTTATGTTAATATTTGAAAATTTAAATTCTTTCGAGGAATTCTATTAAAATTGTTTTGAAAAGAATTGAATTTCTGCAAAGGATTTTACTATTTTTAAAAATAATTGAATTATTGCGAAGAATTTTACTAATTTATAAAAATAATTGAAATGTTTCGAAGAATTTATTAAAATTTTAAGAAATAATTAAATTGTTATGAAGAATTTTATAGAAATATTTGAAAATAATTAAATTTTTTCGAGAAATTCAATTAAAGTTGTTTCGAAAATAATTGAATTTATTTAAAAGAATTTTATTAAAATTAAGTATATTCAAAATAATTGATTTCATTACAAGAATTTTATTATTTTTTGAAAATAATTGAATTCATCACAAGAATTTTATTATTTTTTGAAAATAATTGAATTCATCACAAGAATTTTATTATTTTTTGAAAATAATTGAATTCTTTCAATTATTTTGACGAATATATTTAAAAATTACATTAAAAGTAATTTAATTTTTATACAGAATTTTTTAAAAATATTTTGATAATAATTTAATTATTTTTAGTGAATTTTAAATTCTTATTGACATTCAATTTTATGGAAATTTTTCAAAATAATTAAATTCTTTCGTGTAATTTTATTTAAATTTAATTAAAAATAATTTAATTCCTGCAAAGAATTTTAGTATTTATAAAAATAGTTGAATTGTTTCGAAGAATTTATTAAAATTTTAAGAAATAATTGAATTTTCTGGAAATACTTTAAAATATTTTTTGAATTTATCCGAGGAATTCAATTAAAATTGTTTTGAAAATAATTGAATTGTTTAGAAGGATTTATTAAAATTTTAGAAAATAATTGAATTCTTTCGTGAAATATAATTAAAATTTTTGAAAATATGAACAGTAATAATTAATTTTATACTTAATACGTGAATTTTTTAAATTTTCATTATGAAATTATTTAAAAAATTTATATTTGAAAATAAAAAATTTTGTAATGTGCATAACAATAATAAATTGAATATCACATTCCGCGCGTAACATTTGCTAAATTAATTAATAATAACAATTAATAATGTTGATAAAAAATTAAAAAATTGTCTCTCGAATCCCAAGAAAAATTTTCTTTTCTTTTTTGAAAAAACAGATAAAAGCAAAATATTTACAGTTTTGAAAAAGAAATCCTTGATATTTTTATTTTGATAAAATTTTGATAAAAAAAATTTTTAACGATAATAAAAAGAAACTTCTTTTTTTTTCTTCCTTTTTTTATTTTTGATGCTGAAATAACTAAACTTTCAAAGAATGGAAGTGATAAAAGAAAGTTTGAAGAGATAAAGGAAAACTTTTGTTGGTTTTCAAGTAGTAAAAATAATTTTACTGGTTGAAGTAGTAAAAAAAAAAAAGAAGTTGAACAATGAGGAAAATTTGCGATTATGAAGAAATAAAAAATATTTTAGAATTAATATAAATTTTTCTTTGTCCATTTTTTAAATATTTTCATAAAAATAATTTTTAATGTACTTATTGAAATTTGTTTTTCTTCTTGCAAAATTACCCAACACCAAAATTGACAAATTAGTTTTTAGGTAATTACTATATTTTCAATTTTCATAAATTCGGTGTTTATATAAATTTATAAATACTTTAATTATGAAAATTATTTTCAATTATGATAAATATTTTTCTATTATTACAACTATTTTCAATTATGAGAATTATTTTCTGTTTTTATAACTATTTTTAATTATTATAATTATTATTTTTTATTATTATTTCAACTATTTTCAATAATGAGAATTATTTTCAATTTTAAAAACTATTTTAATCACTAAAAAATAGTGGAAATTGATTTCCGATTTTTTTACAGGAAATTTATTTTATTAATTAAATTAATGAATTATTATTATTTAAACATAAATTGAAAATAAAATTTTACAGATAGAGGAAAAAAGGTGCAAATGTGTAATAATTGAAAATAAATTTAGATTTTTTTTTGAAAAATATATTTTTAAAAGAATTTTCTTTTAACTAAAAACTATTTCATTTTTGCAGAATGAAAAATAAAAGTACACAACAATTTTTCTGTATATTTCAAATTCGATCCATTTTAGAAATTTTTAATATTTAATTCTTCTTTTTAATTCAATTTAATGAAAATTTTTTTCTTAAATTTTCATTTATGTATGTAAATATTTTCAGTCTGGTAAATTGTTTAACAAATTTATTTTTGTAATCGATTTCTTTAATTTTAATTTCATTGGCTTAGGTTTTTTTTATGTATAATATGTTTGTTCTTTTACTTTAATATCAGTTTCATTTTATGGGAAAAAATACATAAAGTAACTTTTACTATTTTCGTATTAAATTTTATTGTACTAAAATTTACATGTTTGTAATTTAAGTACTATTTAAAAATTACAAATAGTAAATTTGCTATAAAAAGCAAAATTTCTTTTATTTTAATTTTATTAGTTAAACTTTTTTGATTTTTAATATTTTTCTGTTTTTTTTTAAACTAAAATTTACAAAAATGTAATTCACTCTACAGAAATAGTAAAATTTCTATAATTTTAATTTTGGTATTACAAAATTTGTTAAATTTTATTCTTTTCTATTTTTAATTTATTTTTAATTTATTTCTAATTTATTTATTTATTATTTAATTTATTTTTCTATTTTTTTTCATTTCTTTAATACAAAATTAGTTCAATTTTTATTATTATAATGCGGAGGAAAAAATTATAAAGTACATTTTTACTATTTGCGGAGTAAATTCTACAAAAATAATAAAAATTGCAGAAAAAAAAATTTTCAGACAGTTTAGACTTACATTATAAATATTAATAAAAGTTACTTTATTAATTTTTTTCCGAATTCAATTAGTATTATTTATTAATTATTATTATTATTATTTATTTATTATACATAGTTCTTGCCTTTCTGCTTTGAACAAGTATTAATTACTATTAATAATATAATAATAATAATTAATAATTAATAATTAATAAATATTAAAATAATATTCTAATAATATTATTTATTTATTATTATTTATTAATTTAAAAATTATAAAATTACTTTTTCTCCTCCTTGCTCCCTGGTGAGTTGAAAGACCTTTTTCTCCAAATGAAGCATTTGACTATTGCATTCAGATGAATTCTTGACTAATTTCTCGTATTTACTCGAAAGTGAATCGTAATCAACTTTAAGTTGGGCGTGCTTATTTTTTAATGATTCCATAGACGATTTTTTATCCTCTTGCGCCTTAATAATTTCACTACGTAAATTTCTCAATGTCACCTCCAATTTATTTGTCTCTTCTAAAGAAAGTTTATGCCTCTTATTGCACTCATCCTGTAAATCCTTATTCTCCGATTGTAAAATATTATATTTCTGTTGCATTGCATTATACCTCTGCAATAATTCAACATTGTCCTTATCCTTATCCCTCAGAGATTTTTCTCTCGATGCTCGTTGCTGTAGTTCTTGTTTAAGTGCTTGATTGGAATTTTTCTCCTCTTGCAATGATTTTTCGAGGCGCACTTTGTACTCGTAGATCACTGAAAGAAAATGCAGAAATTTTTAGAAAAATTTTACTATTAAACAATTTTTTTTAAAGAGAAATAAAATAAAAATAAATAAACAAAATATTTTTTCTTAAAAAATTCTTTTTTCCATTTTTTTCTTTTTGGAAATTAAATCAAAATTTTCTGAACATTTTTTATGAACCAAAAAATTGAAACTGTTTCGAAATTTTCAACTGACTGTATTTTTTGCTGTTCAAAATAAAATAAAAAAACGAAAAATTTAGTTTTTACAGGAAAGGAAATTTTTTTTGTTTTGCAGGAACAAACCTTGAAGTTGAGCGGCTATTGACTCTTGCTGATGAGCACATTGAACGTGAATATCGTGAAGCCTGGCCATTTCAAATGAAGCAGCTCGATAGAGATATATTATTATTACAAAAATTATTAGGACACCTCCATATAGAGCCAGGCGGCCACCCCGGCCCCTGCCGAGCCGAGATGCATTCATCTCTGCAAAAATGTCACAAAAAATTATTAAATATTCCAGAATTATCTCATTAAAAAAATTTTTTAATCAATTTTATTTTTTCTACTGTAATCAATAATTTAACAATTAATTAATTAATTTTATTCGACAACTATTAATCGCAATATATTTTTTGTAGTAAATGAATAAATAAAATAAGTTAATTATAATAAATAAATAAACAAATTAATTACAATAAATAAGAAAACAAATTAATTATAATAAATAAGTAAATAAATTCCTTTCCTCTAAATTAAAATATAAATTGTAATTCAATTTTCTATTCTAATCAGAAATTTACCAGCGTTAATTAATTAATTTCATTTAACAACTAATATTTTAAATAAATAAACAAGTAAGTTATAATAAATAAATAAACAAATTAATTGTAATAAATAAATCAATTTTTCTATTCTAATCAACAATTTACGAACTTAAATTAATTATTTTAAAATTAATTAACTTTATTCAGCAATTATCATAATAAATTTATTATAATAAATAAATAAGTAATTATTTATTGTAATAAATAAGTAAACAAATTAAAATAAACAGAATTCTAATGAATTGTAATATTATACACGTTCAAAGGCAAAAGGCATAGACCATGCATAATAAATAAATAACATTACAATAATTTATAGCAGAAAAAATTAATTATTAATTAAGATTAAAAATAAAATTGATTAGATTTACAATTAATATTCACTGAGAACCACTGAAGAGGTAACTTCAATACAGGTGTAGATCAAGAGAGAGAGTTGAAGAAGTCTCTCTTCATTGGAATAAGGTCATCATGAATTTATTATGACTTCGCCATAAAATTTAAAAGAAATAAAAACAAAAAATTAAGAATAATTTTAATTAATCATTCCCTTCTAATTATAATATTAATCTTTTGTTATTATTAATTAATAATTAGTACTGAAAAATTAGTAATTATACTTATAATTAATCTATTCTATTCGAATTCTATTGTAATTATTGTTAATAATTATTTTTCTATTTAAATCTATTGTAATTATTGTTAATAATTATTTACTAATTATAATATCAATTCAGTAGGTATTATTAAATAATAATTTTTTTTATTATTGAATAATATTTTTTTTATTATTGAATAATAATTTTTTTATTAATTATAAATAATAATTAATAAGCAATAATTAGTAATTCTTGACTAATTATAATATTAATTTAGTATTTTTCTTTGTAATTTTAATGTACTATTATTTATTATTGGTAATTAATAATTAGCAAACAGTAATTAGTAATTAATAGTTAGTAAATAGGAATTAATAAATAATAATAGTTACTAATCATTAACTAGAATTAACTATTGTTTTTATTTATTTTGCGAGGAAAGTGAAAAATATGCTAATTAACAATTGTTTATGAATTATGATTTTAATTATTATTAGCATTATTAATTAATAATTAGCAAACAATATAAAACATAAAAAATAAACAATATAAACATAAAAAAATAAACAATATAAAAAAAATAAATAAATAAATAAATAAATAAAAATAAACAATATAAAACATGAAGATATCGATTGCTCCGAGTCGAAGACTCGGAGTGATCGATTTCTTCATGTTTTTATAATAATTAAAAATAACTCAGAGATAAAATTATTATTTTATATAAAAATATTGTTACTCTAACTTCTTCGGAATTTTTTTTATCATTTTAATTCAATTATTATTTTCTAGAATTTTAAATTATTTTTTATGAGAATAATTGAATTCCTTAAAAAAATGTTATTATTTATGAAAATAATTGAATTCCTGTGAAATGTTTATTATTTATGAAAATAAATTAAATGTTTGCATACAATTTTATTACAATTTTTTTTTTAAATAGTTGAATTCTTTTTGGGAAACTTTAATAAAATAGTAGATATTGAAAATCATTGAAATTAGAAAAATACATTTTATTTTTGAAAATAATTGAAATTAGGACAAGAATTTTTTTGATATTTATGAAAATAATTGAACTTTGGAGAAGAATTTTTTTTATTTATAAAGATAATTGGGATTTTTACGAAAATTTTTTTCAAATTTTAAACATAGTTAAATTTTATAAGAAGAATTTTATTTTTTTTTTTAATTGAAATTTTTAATTGAATTTCTGCAATTATTTGTATTTCTCAAAAATTGAATTTTTTTAGTGTTTTTAACAAAAATTTTAATTAGAGAATTTTTAAATTCTATTATTTTTAAAATTCCTAATTTTATTTTAAAAAAAAGGCAGAAAGAAGTTAGCCGCGCGAATTGTTGCTAGTTAATTATATTGAGAAATTAAAATTAATAATTATATTGAGAAATTAAAATTAATAATTATACTGACTAATTATAATAAATTAATAATTATATTGAGAAATTAAAATTAATAATTATACTTGACTAATTATAATAAATTAATAATTATACTGACTAATTATAATAATTAATAATTATATTGACTAATTATTATTAATAATTATATTGACTAATTATAATTAATAATTATATTGACTAATAATAATTAATAATTATATTGACTAATTATAATTAATAATTTTATAGTCTAATTCTAATTAATAACTATATTGACTAATTATAATTAATAATTATATCGACGAATTATAATTAAAAATTATACTCAGCAATAAATTGAAAATTCCTTCAAAGGCAGTAATTTTTCGTCTCTCAAAACTGATTCTTTTTAATTAAAAATTGGATTTGCAAGTTTCAATTAAAGTTATAAGTGAAAATTCTGCCTCTATATAGTTATAAAGATTATCCTTGAAGTAAAGCAGTAGAAACAAGAATCTGAGTAGTTAAATTCTGAATGTAAGGCAAAAGCCCTTCTAAGCTTTTGCTCAACTACAATAAGAACTCTCTTACCCTCCCTCCCTCCCTCTCTCTCTCTCTCTCTATCTTTCTCTTACCCCCTTTTATCTTAAACGATATTAAAAAAAATGTAAAGTCGAATGAATCATAAACAACGTCTACTTTTATTAAATATTCAAAAATAAAAGCCCGACATTATGTTTACGGCCATACCCTTAAATCATAAAAGAAATTATGTGAATTTATTTTCATAACTGCCACGTATTGTTAATAAAATCGTAATATTTCGTACATTACTCGCAAAATTCTACGGTGTAGCTTGAAAATTAGTACATATCTTGTATGTGTGTGCGTGAATATTTCGTGATAATTTAATTTTTTTTTTGTTTCGTTATCGAATGTCCTTTAATTAAAGTTGTAAATTAATAATTTTACATTAAGTTGTTTATGAGTGAGGAGTTTGTTCTGTATTTTTAATTGATAATTATTAATGCGCTATAAATTAATGCCGTAATAAATTTATCACTTTTTTTCATATTTTTGAGTACTTTGCTGATTAATTAACAATTTTTTATTATAACATTAATTTTTCATTTATTATCCGGGAAAGGAAAATAATATTTTCAAACCCTATAGATTCGAAATTAATGATTAATTATTAATTATAATAAATTAATGATTAATTATTTAATATAATAAATTAATAATTAATTATTAATCATAAGAAATTAATAATTAATTAAAATTATTTCAATATAATTATGAATTGAAAAATAAAAGTTATTAAATAAATAATTATTATTATTATTATTTAATGATTGATTATTATTATTATTATTCATTATGTCGAAAAAATTGTTTCAACATTTTGATAAAAAATATATTAATAAATTAATAATTAAACATTAATTAATGTATTTAAAAATTCGAAATTATTATCGCTTTTAGAATGAAATTTAATATATTTAAAAATAGAATTTATTAAAATGTCAAGAAAAATTAAAGTGGTTTGCAAACAATATAATAATTTTTTTCCATTAATACTTTTTCCGATGAGAGAGAATTTAAGTCTTTTTTTAATAGTGTAATCAAGATCCTATAAAAAAAAAGCTTTCCTAGGATGCTGATTCAAACCGCATTATCAATCTTGATTATCAGATTTTTCATTGAAGGTTGTATCGTCATTATTATGGCTTTCACTCTACAAAAAAAAAGTGGCTAAGAATATAATAGACGAATAAAATATTTTACTGTTCTTAATTTGAATTTATGTTGCGAATGTGTATTTTAAACAAAAATTTAAATAAAATTATTTTCTATTTATTAAATTATTATTAATAATTTAATTATTATTCATTTGTACAATGAATTTATTAATTATTATTAATTAATTGCTTTAGGAATTATGTATTTTCTTTATTTCGTAATTATAAATAATTGTTAAATAAAATAATTTATAACATAACTCAATTAATAATTATTTTAATAATGAGAATTATAATTCAATTGATACGTAAATATTTTATTCATTAGAAATTAAATTCAATTAATTCAATAATATTATTTCTTAAACAATTAAAATACATTTAAATAAAGAATAAACACAATATTCGTAACGAAAATTCTCTTATGTTTAAAATGATTTTAAAAACACTGGAAAAAATTGTTATCGGTCGCGGGAATTGAACACCTCAACCTAACACCCGGAAGCCTGACACTTAACCACTCCGCTACGTCGACATCAGATAAAGAATATAATTTTAATAGACAATAAATAATGCCTTCTGAATGTAAACAGAATAATACCTAAAATATTAAAACATAAATTTAAAAATAAAATAATTAAAATACAAAAACAATAAAATATAAAACCTAAATAAAAAATAAAAGCAAACACTATTAATTTCTAAATTATTAACATTAAAAAAATCTTATTTTTATTCTATTATCTTTAATAGGAGCAATTTTTCTCCGTGTACTATATATTTATTATAGGAAATTTCTTTTATTGACAACGTAATTAAGGAAACTGATTGTAAAAAAATACCTATAACTACTTGAATGAAAGCAATATTTTATCTTTTAATTGAGCTTTATAGAAAAATGACCTTTTATAGAAAAAAAGCACTATATAAATGAAAAAGTTTCCTCGATTATAATTGATCTTTCTATACACAGTGTGTAAAGCTCGAAGCGAGTATATATTTTGTTTAATAATTCCCAACTTATAAATACAAAAATACTTCGTGTCATACATTACATTTAAAGAATTGTGAAAAAATTATATAAAAAATACCAAAAATAACAAAAATTATATTATATATAAATATTATATTATTATTCAATAAATGAGTAACAATTTATTTTTTTTTATTTTTTTTTTAATTCTTTTTTTTTTAATTTTTTCTTTTGATAGTAACCCCCCTATGTATTTTTTTAACGGCCCCTAAATAATAGTTGGAATAAATTTAATAAATCTAAAAAAAAATTGCACGTACAAAAAATTTAAAATACTATAAAATAAGAAAATAATTAATAAAAAATATAAATAAAGAGAATTGTTTTTAATTAAAAATTGAAAATAATGTACAATTTAAGATTAAAAAGAAAGATAAAAATTGCGTGCGGTGAATATTATAGGTACATTAGTTTATAAATATTGTCTTCATATGAAGATTATTACGTATTTAATTGTTAGAATAGAGAAAGGTTGACAAATGCTTCTATTCTGAATAAACAGAACATTAAAGATTAACATCAACTTCTAATAATGGTTTATCTGGCAAACTGTAAAGTGCAATCTTAAATAAGATATAGAAGCCCATTTATCAACAACGTTAATTGAAGCTAGCTTGTAACTGCGTTTGTAACGGTTAAAATTCTTTAGGTCTCTGACGAATAGTCCTAAATTAAATCCTATGTACTCTCTCTTTCTCTCCAAAACGAGAGAGAGAGAGAGAGAAAGAAATTACGAAATTTTCATTTTTAATACATAATATATTTTTTTATAAAATAAAAAAAATATCTTTCACTTTCCAGGAGCTTTTACTATAAAAAAATTTTTTTTTTTCTTCTACTTTTTTCCTTTTTTCTTTCTGCTCTTAAAATTTGAATTAGTAAAAATATTTACTAATTACAATTAGTAAAAATATTTAATAATTAAAATTAGTAAAAATATTTAATAATTAAAATTAGTAAAAATATTTAATAATTAAAATTAGTAAAAATATTTAATAATTAAAATTAGTAAAAATATTTACTAATTTAAATTACTGACTGACTTCCTGCTTTCGATTTTGTAAATTTTACTAATAAATAATTATTTCTAATTTATTAGAAGAATTAATAAAATTTAGGTTAAGATTCAGAAATTATAATTAGTACAAATTTTATACTAATAAATAGTAATTTCTACTAATTTATTAGTGAAACTTACTAATACAAATTTAGGGAGTGAATTAACGACTGACTTTTTGCTTTTGAATTTGTAGATTCTACTAATAAATAATAATTTTTTCTAATTTATTAGTACAATTAGTAAAATTTTAGAATAAGATTCAGAAATTATAATTAGTACAAATTTTATACTAATAAATAGTAATTTCTACTAATTTATTAGTGAAACTTACTAATACAAATTTAGGGAGTGAATTAACGACTGACTTTTTGCTTTTGAATTTGTAGATTCTACTAATAAATAATAATTTTTTCTAATTTATTAGTACAATTAGTAAAATTTTAGAATAAGATTTAGAAATTAAAATTGGTACAAATGTTACTAATAAATAGTAATTTCTACTAATTTATTAGTAAAATTTACTAATTCAAATTTAGAGAGTGAATTAACGACTGACTTTTTGCTTTTGAATTAGTAAATTTTACTAATAAATTAGTAGAAATTACTATCTATTAGTAAAATTTACTAATTTAAATACAAAAAGTTAGTCACTGATTCAAATTAATAAATATTTTTACTAATTCAAAATTTAGATGGTAAATCCCTACAAAAACTGTCAAAAAAATTACTCTCACTTCCAAGCAACTTTTACTGTAAATAAAGTAAAAATAATTCACACTTTTTTCCTTATTCCAAAATCTAAAACTGTTCAAAAAATTTTCTCTCATTTTCAAGCAACTTTTACTATTTAAATATAGTAAAAACAATTTACTTTTTTGTCCTTCGAAAACCCTAAAAACAGTTCAAAAAAATTTTCTCTCATTTTCCGTCAATTTTTACTATTTTTAAAATAAACTTTACTGTATAATATTGCTAAAATAGCAAAGATTTACTTTATTTAAAGATCTTTTCCAAAATAGTAAAATTTACTTTCAAGAAATTAAAAAAAAAAATTAAAACATAAATTCTAGGTAGTTCAAATTTTACTTTCTAGTAAATAAAAAAATATTTGGAAAATATAATTTTTTTATAGTTGATTCTATTCTATTCCAAATATTTTTTTTTATAATTGATTCTATTTTCTTTCGGGTATATTCACCAATAGAAAATAATGAGGGGAAAAAATGTTTTTTTCCACAAATTACAAACAATATGAAACTTTAATGAAAAACGTACACAGAGTATTTTAAGCTTTTTACTTTTAATCGGGCTTTATATTAAAAAGGTCCGCAAAATATTGCAGACATAAAAAGTGAAACAAAAAAAGCTTAATTACTCACTGATAATAATTGTTTATTACACTATTATTAAATTTGTATATTTTTTTAAAAAATTCTAATACTATTAATTATATTAATAATTCATTTATATTTCTCATTAACCAATTAGTTAAGAAAAAACAAAACAATAATAACATTAGTATAATTATAGAGTATCTACTATAAGCAGAGAAAAAGAATTAGAATTAGTAATTTTTACTAATAAATTAGTAGAAATAACTATATTTTTTAGTAAAATTAACTAATAAATATCTATTTCATTAAATACTAATTTTTACCAATTTTTTTTTTTTTGCTTTCCATTTAGTAAATTTTCCTAACAAATTGGTAGAAATAACTATTTTTTAGTAAAATTCCGAAATAAATATTTATTTAATTAAATACTACTTTCTACTAATTTTGTTTGCTTTCGAATTAGTAAATTTCACTAACAAATTAGTAGAAATTACAATTTATTAGTAAAATTAACTATTAATTATTAATAAGTAGATTATTAGTATATCAAGGTACTAATTAGCGCACTAATTAATTAATATTAAATCCTAAATAATTAGTAACTAATTAGTAATTAGTTAATGAAAAAAATACTTAATTAATTAATTAGTACATGAATGCGGAATAAAAAAATTTTTACGTAATTCTAATTATAATATAATTTTTGTTCCAGTGAAATTAAAATATAACCTAATTTTTCTTCGAGTAAAATTAAAATATAATATAATTTTAATTCCAATAAAATTAAAATATAATACAATTTTGATTCCAACGTGATTAAAATAGATTATTAATTTTAACTGAAGTACAATATATTATTCTTTTAATTCTAATATAATTAAAATACAACAATCAAAACACAATAATAATAAAGCACAATTTTATCCAAAAAAAAAAAATTTGTAAATCATATCCTTCTCTCTAATCTCCAACTCACGAAAACTAAAATTACTTTTAATAAAATAACACATTCGTTTATCATCTCTCTTTTTCACAGAATCTTATCTCAATTTCCAATTCATAATAATTGCTCCAAAATTTTACTGACAAAAATTGTAGTAGCAAAACGGAAAACAATAAAAGCTACCTCTTGCAATGTCCACGTTAAAAAAAAAGGATAAAAAATATAAATCACAACAAATAAAACAAAAATAAAAATATTTAAAGTAAAACAAAAAAGAATACTTACCTCGTGGTTAGAAAAGGTGTGTATTCTTCTCAGCTTTTCATTTTCAAAGCGTTTCTCGTGACGCCAATCTGCTTTCTCCAAAAGAATGGCGAAAAATACGTCCTTATAATACAAAATAATGGAAAAAAAAACCTGTCGCCTTTAACGACAAACACTAATTTTTTTCCAAAAATAAAAAACAACACCACTTTTCACTAAGAAGCAATGCAGTCGCACTGATTGGGTCCAAAAAATTTTTTCTTATATTTCAGGATCGAATCAAGTTGCACTGACAATTTCTCTATACACACGACGACAACGACAGGTTAGAAAATAGTTGAACAGCGTTATTTCATGTCGGGAAAACTCGGCATTTATCGTCTCTCGATAAAAGCAGTCTTGCCACAGAATTTCAAAATTGCCCGCTAATAAATTCTTCCAAACAAAAAACATTCAAAAACCTTAAATTTATCAATATTTCTACCATTTATTTATTTTTTTTTTGCAAAAAATTAAGAAAGAAAAATATATATTTACTTGTTCAGTATTCCAAAGGGTATAAAAATAGAAATAATAATATTAAATTCAGTAATAAACAATAATTCTACAAACTAATTAAATAAAAAATATTCCATTTGGATTGAGAAAGAAATTTTTCTTTTCACCCGCCTCGCAAAAAATGGAGAGAATTGTTTTAAAATTGAAATTTCGTTTTTGGAGTAGAATGAAATTTAACACAGTGCCGCGCAGTTGCCACCATTTTGGGTTGAACATCGACCAACAGCCGAGTTGGATAACAAAACAACGTTTCTGCCAACGTAGGAGAAAGTAATTCCCGAGCATTGTATTTTTCTCGAGGCCAGAGGTTCTCAATTTGAAAATGATTCCTTTTTGTATATAAAGAGCAAATCTCTCTCAATTCTTAATTTACAAAAATTGTTTATTAACTTTTTCCAAAAATTTTAGACAAACTTCAAGGAGTTTACAGAAAAAAAAACAAAATCAGAAGGCACGTCTTAAAACCAAAAAGATTGAAAAGAATCCTATTTTTATGCTTAAAACCAGATATGTCAATTGTAAGACAAAAAAAAAGCTTAATGACAGAATCATACTCTTAATGCTAAAATTCAGTCAAAAATGGTGGTTTCAGTAAAAAGTGAATTTTAAGCTCATTTTTGACTTAAAGTTTACTTTACAATTCAGAAAAATTTGTATATTGAAAAATGACGCTGGTCTTGATAATTTTTTTAAAACAATTTTTGGAGTCGAATATCAAATTTGGGCTTTTTTCATCAAATTAGAGCTTTTTTATTAAGGAAAAGCTTTTTCCAAAACATGGAGGTACTGAGACCTTTTTTGGAATTTATTTCCGATTCAGAAAAAATTTGTATTTTGAAAACGACGCTAGAATATCAAATTTAGCCTTTTTTCATCAAATTGGAGTTGTTTTTATAAAGGAAGAGCTTTTTCCGAAACATAAAACTTTTTTAGAACTTATTTCCAATTCAGAAAAAATTTGTATCTTGAAAGACGACGATGGTCTTGACAATTGATTTTAAAAATTTTTTGGAGTCAAATATCAAATTTGGGCTTTTTTCATCAAATTTTGGAGCTTTTTTATTAAATAAAGCTTTTTCCGAAACACGGAGACACACAGAACTTTTTTAAACTTTATTTCAGATTCAGAAAAAATTTGTATTTTGAAAAACGACGCTATATTTATTTTTACATTTTTTGGAGTTGAATATAAAATTTTGGGCTTTTTTCATCAAATTTTGGAGCTTTTTTATTAAAAAAAGTTTTTCAAAAAAAAAACGGAGAAACTCAGAGCTTTTTTAAAATTTATTTACGATTCAGAAAAAATTTCTATCTTGAAAAACGACGCTGGTCTTGTATATTTATTTTTACAATTTTTGGAGTCAAATATATCAAATTTGGGCTTTTGTCATCAAATTTTGTAGCTTTTTTTATTAAATAAAGCTTTTTCCGAAAGATTGAGATACTCAGAACTTTTTTAGAATTTATTTCCGATTCAGAAAAAATTTGTATTTTGAAAAACGACGCTAGTATATTTATTTTTACATTTTTTGGAGTTAGATATAAATTTTATGCTTTTTTCATCAAATTTTGGAGCTTTTTTTTTATTAAAGAAAAGCTTTTTCCGAAACACAAAGGTACTCAGAATTTTTTTTAACTAAATAAATTGTTTTCTTTACTAATAATAGTAATAAGAAATACTAATAACTACTAAGAAACTAATAATAAGTAATAGTAAAAAGTAATAATTACTCTCTAAATTAGTGAAAAGTCGTTGACTAATTTCAATTAATAAAAACGTTTTTATTTAAAAAAAGTTATTTTCTACTAATAATTAGTTATTAGTTACTTTCAAAGTTTTAAGAAATTAATTATTATCTTGTAATAATTAGTTATCTTCCACAAAGAATTTAATTTCTTAATTTTAATAGGTAAAAATAAAAATGTTTACTAATTGAAATTAGTGACTTTTAGTAGTAAAATTTAGTAATTGAAATTAGTGATTTTTAATAGTAGTAAAATTTAATAATTTAAAAGCAAAAGGGCTAATTTTACTAATTCAAAAGGAGTCGCAGTCACTAATTCTAATTAGTAAACATTTTTACTAATTTGAATTTAGAGAATAATTTTTACTAATTCGAATTTAGAGAATAATTTTTATTAATAATTAGCAATTTTCTACTAATTGTAATTAAAATTAGTTATTTTTATATACAAATAGTTATTTTCTACAAATGAATTTTTTTCTACTAATAATTAGTTACTATTTTTTACTAAAAATTAGTTATGTTCTACTAATAATTTTTATTGTTTTTCACTAAGTGCAAAATTTTACTAACAATCAGTAATTACTAATTGATAGTAAAATTTTAACTAATGATCTGTAACTAACACAAATCTAGAGAGAAAAAATATTCTTAATATTTTCATATATATAAACAAAAACACAGGTAATAATCGAAACTATCTTTCAAGTTAATTCGTGTCTTCTCCCCGAAAAATAAATTCATTAAAATAATAAATCAATGGCATAAGTAGAAAATTTTTCTACAAAAAAAGAATAATAATAATAATAACAGTAGATTGCACGACAGTTATATTGGATTATATTTCTTGGTGACAAAAAAGGTCTGCAAATGGTGTGCAATAAAGCAGTAAACTGAAAAAATAAACTTTCGCAGGTCAATGGGAGAAATTTTTTTTTCTTTTTTGGCAAAACCTTTTCATACAATAAATACCAGTGGCTGTATATAAAGCATCATAATTATTACTCTTCTATTTTTTAATAATTTGAAGCTTTTGTCTTCTTATTTTTATTTACAAAATTGCGACTAAAAATTAGTTAAAATTCTTAGTTCTTTTCTTTTTTTCTTAAAATTCTTTTTTTTTTAATTAGTGTCTGAATTTTCATACTAATTCAAATCTAAATTTAGTGAAAATTGATCCGCTAATTCATATTGGTAAGAATTTTCACTAATTATTATTAGTAAATTATTACTAATATTTTAGTACAAATATAATTTTTTTTCACTAAAGCATAGAGCTGAAACATGATGCAAAAATTAGTAAAAATTCTTACTAATGTGAATTAGTGGCTTAATTATCACTAATTCAGATTTGAAGAGGGGAATTTTCCGCTCGCATTCCTGGAAAATTTTATCCACATTTTTAACGCAGAAAAATATTTTATTTAAATCAAATATAATTTATTTGAGTCAAATAAAAGCTAGAGAGAGCCTACTAAATTATTTATTTCTTCTAAACAAATATTTTATTTAGTACAAATAAAATTTTTTACTAAACCAACTAAAATTTGTTGTTGAACCAGCTAAAATTTATTTGAATCAAATAAAATTTATTTGAATCAAATAAAATTTGTTGAACCAACTAAATATTATTTATGAATCGAATAAAATTGATTTTAACTAAATAAAGTTTATTTGTAGGAAATAAAAGTTTTTATTGAACCAACTAAAATTTATTTGATTCAAATAAATTTTATCTGCTCCAAATAAATTATTAGTTGATACAAATAAATTTTATTTGCTCCAAATAAATTATTAGTTGATTCAAATAAATTTTATTTGCTCCAAATAAATTATTAGTTGAACCTAATAATCTGTGAGTCAAATATATATTTTTATCTGATTATAAGAAAAATTAAAAACGTCCGAACTTCGGAATATTTTTTGAAATAATGCAAAGAATTACTCCCAATGCTCCAATGGAATATTCCAAGATTGTGAATGGAAAATTCCATGCTCTTGGGGAGGGGATTTAGAGAAAAATACTGATTACGAAATCATTACTATATTCACGAATAACTTTACGAAAATTGTTCATATTAATTAATTTTACCCAATAATTTCTATTAAGAAATTCAAATAAACATTATTACTCAATAATTAATTATAAACTCAGAAAAAAAAATTATGTTTAAAACAAGTACTTTATTTTGTTAAAACAAAAATCTTATTTTTAGGCTTTTAACAAACTTTATTTAGAAGAAATAAAGTTTGTTTAAACTAAACAAATATTTATTTTATTTAAAGAAACATTTGGTTCAGTTTAATACATTTTTTTCATTTAGGGGAAGGAATTTAGTCATTTGAAGTAAATTTTTATTTTAACCAAACAAATATTTCCGGTTAACTGTACAACAACGCATTTTATTGTTAATTCTGTTATTAAAAATAAAAAAATTCTTTTATTATTCAAATAATTTTACTAAAACACTCAGAAAAGAATTTATTCTTTTCTAAGTGTTTTAGTAAAATTTGTTTTTGAAATGATGTGTGAAAAATCATCAATAAAATCAAATGCATAATCTAATCTATGAGCAAAAATTATTAACTATTATTGATGTTAGTAATAATTCATGACTATCAATTACAGTCGAAATGCAACTATTTAAAAAATTTTGTATTCAAAAATGTCCAAAAAGAACTATTTTCAGTTCCGGAATATTGTAAATAATTATTAAAAACATAAAATTATAAATCACTTCTTTTAAGGATTTAAGAATTGTTTAATGTCTACTGTAATAAAATTTAAAAAATCAGGTTGCATTCAGACAGGTGTCACTTTAGCACTAATTATTATTAACTATATTATAATTGTAGAATTATTAATTATTAACAAATATTAATCCTTAGTTCAATAAATAATATTTATTTCAATAATAATTCAATAAATTATCCTTTGCTACTAAACCCAAAGGGAATATCATCAAATATCAATAAAATCCAACTTTCAACATTAAAAAACAAACCTTTATAAAAAATAATCCCACAAATATGTAAAATTCAGGACAGAAAATATCACATCATTTGAAAGTTGAGAGTCACATTTCTAGGAAATTTCATCAATAATTGCCAGCACTGTTCCTCGTGAGGCACAACTCCCAACACTTTGGGCTCTCAGTCGCTAAAGTTCGCTGCATCGAGTCACAACTAAAAACCCAAGGGTTCAAAATTTCAGGTCAGAGACATTTTTCGTCTCTCTCTCTCACTCTCTCGCTCGCTCTCTTTCTCACTCACTCTCTCTCTCTCTCACTCCCACCATCATCGTTTTTCGATCCTCCGCCCGTGGTTCTCTAAACGCAGCAAATATAACTAACTTTCTTACATTACATTCTTTATTTTTTCTCCCCAAAGAAAAAAAAGAAACAACAAAATTTTTCCATCGTGCTCGATAAATTGGAAGAATTTAAAAAATTCTAGCAACAACAAACAAAAAGCAAAGTTTAGTGATTATAATTTATCAACAGAGAGAGAGAAAAAAAAATATTCCTTAAAATCGTGAGGCGCAATGAGCGTCGGCCACGGTTAAATAAACGGTTTTGCCGTCGGAACGGGGTTGGGTCTCTCTCGCCTCTCCTCACTCTCTCTCTCCATGATACCACCTTAGTGACAGTGATGAGTGTTTTTTTTTCAATTGTGTCACACCTTATAATCGTGATTGAATTGGAAAAACTACGTGACTACTGTGAATTAATTACGCCCCTGAATTATCCTGATTACGTATTAAACCTGGAGAGAAAATCACACCGACAACAAGATGACGTGAGTAGTAACCTTCGAGAGATTCATTTCCATAATGTTATACCGATTTTATTTCTTTCTTTTCGCTTCTTTTCTTTTAGGAACATTTTTTTTTTTTTTTTTGATAAAGGTTTTTTCAAAAAAGAAAGAAAAAGAGAAGGAGTAAAAAAGGGGGGTTATTTAGGGAGGAATATATTTCAACTATTGGGTTTAGACTTCCAATATACCGACAGAGGCTGACTTCGATCCATATCGGATCGAAAATTCAGGTGGAGTCTCTTCGATTCCGAAAAAAAGCCTCTTTGAATCTCTTTAAAACAAGACCAGCAGCACCGGTTTCATGAACTTTGTTCGCTTTTCATTCAGGAACGTTTCTCTTTGGCTTTTTAGTACACTATATAAATGTACGTATATGTACAACGAAACATAAAGAGAAATGCGTTTGTATTTTCTTTATAATGTTTTTTAAACTCAACATATTTTTTCACAACATACTGAAACTGTTATTTTACAGAAAAAAATTAAATAAACGAGACGAACGTTATTAATTTGTTATTTTGTTGCAATTAGCATTATTTGCTACTATTATTTTACTACTTTCTTATTGTCATTATTATTTGTTACTATTTCGTTAATATTTGATATTTTGTTGTTATTTTCTACTATTTTGTTATTATTTGATATTTTGTTGTTATTTGTTACTATTTTGTTATTATTTAATATTTTGTTGTTACTTGTTACTATTTTGTTGTTATTTGATATTTTGTTATTCTTATTATTATTTGTAACTATTATTTTGTTATTATAAAAATTTTATTCAAATAAGAAATAACTGATTACTTGTCCTACTATCAAATAAATATTTACTTGAATCAAATAATTTTTATTTAAAGCAAATAATTTTTATTTAAATCAAATAAATTGTATTTGAACCAATACTTTCAGTATTAAAAGCAAATAACAGTAATTGACATAAATAAAAATTATTTGATACAAATAAATATTTATTTGATACACAAATCATTTTTTTATTTAAATCAAATAAATTTTTATTCAATGTGTTTTTTATTTACTCGTTCTTATTGTTATACTCAAAAAAAAATTTTATTTGAAACAAGTATAATTTACTTGATCTGATAAAAAATATAGGTAAAATAAAAAAGAAAAATCAATTGAATTTAAAAATTTCATTCGGCACAAATAAAATTTTTATTTAAACCAAATAGAATTTATTTGAAAGAAATAAAATTTATTTAAAGCCAAATAAAATTTATTTGCACCAAAAAGAAATTATTTTGAACCAAATTAAAGTCATTGAAACAAAATAATAAAATTTATATGAACCCAATGAAATTCATTTGCACCAAAAAAATTGCTTTGAACCAAATAAAAGTCATTGTAACAAAATAAAATTTCTCTAAACCCAATAAAATTCATTTGAACCAAATAAAATATATTTGAACCAAATAAAATTTTCATTTATACCAAATAAAAGTCATTGAAACTAAATAAAATTTATTTAAACCCAATAAAATTTATTTGAACCAAATAAAATGTATTTTTACCAAATAAAATTGATTTGAACCAAATAGAATTTATTTCAAACAAATACAATACAAACAAACCCAATAAAATTAATTTGCACCGAAAAAATAGCTTTGAACCAAATAAAATCCATTGAAACAAAATAAAATTTCTTTAAACCCAATAAAATTCATTTCAACCAAATAAAATATATTTGAACCAAATAAAACTATTTTGATCCAAATAAATTTTTATTTGAACCAAAAGAAATTTATTAGAAACAATGAAAATGTCTAGTAGGCTCTGAGGTAAATTTTCACTAATTCTCGGTGCAATTATTACTATTCTTTATTTTTGTTATTTTCATTTTTTTTATTGTTATTATTTTGTTTCCATTTCCAAGAAAAATTCTCAATTCGTGATAAATTAAATTTGTACAACACTAGACACTTGAATTAATTGAAATTTCCATATATAGCTAAACATATGTAACAACACTATGTTAGTTAAAATATTTTGGAATTGAAAATTTACTGTAGATTCTTTATATAAAGACAGTACATATATGTGTTTGTGTGTTTGTAAACGAAAGTTTATATCAAAATGCTGATAAAAGTGAAGAAACAAGGCAAATAAGCATTAAGCTTTTTATTAACCCTTTTGTTTTTTTATGAATTTACAAAATAAAATTTAACTCATTTTTCTGACTAGTTATTTTCTTTTTCATTTTGTATTTTAAATAAACCGTATTTTTTTAACCAAATAATTCTGATATTTACTTATTTAATTTTTAAAACTGAATTAGTAAAAATTTTGCAGCACTAATTCATGTTCTTAGTATAAAATATTACTAATTTTGTTCAGTAATTTTTTTCTAGTTTAGTATGGTTAATTTTTTTTTTACTAAAATTTTGATAAAAATAACAAGTAAAAATTCTTGTTTAGCATTTTTTTTTTAAGTAGTTAATTTTTTTACTAAAATTTTGTTAAAAAATAACTAAAAACAAGTAAAAATTCTTGTTTAGCATATTTTAGTTTAGTAGTTCATTTTTTTTACTGAAATTTTGGTAAAAGAGAACTTAAAACAAGTAAAATTTCTTGTTTAGCATATTTTAGTTAAGTAGTTAATTTTTTTTTACTAAAATTTTTGTAAAAAACAACTAAAAACAAGTAAAAATTCTTGTTTAGCATTTTTTAGTTAAGTAGTTAATTTTTTTTACTAAAATTTCGGTGAAAAATAACTAAAAACAAGTAAAAATTCTTGTTTAGCATTTTTTAGTTAAGTAGTTAAATTTTTTATACTAAAGTTTTAGTAAAAAATGACTAAAAAGTAGTAAAAATTCTTATTAATATGAATTAGTGGCTTAATTTTTACTAATTCAGGTTTGGAAAGTTCCTCACATTTTTGTTTAGTGCAAACTTACTAAAAATTAGTAAATTTTACTAATTTAAATTATTTGACTTTTCACTAATTCTCTCTGATTTAAAAAATACACGGTAAATTTTCAATTCAAAAGCGTAAATTCAGTGACTAATTTTAATTATATTAAGAATTTTTATTAATTCTTTAAACTCACTAATTTTTAATTAATAATTTTTATTAGTAAAAATTAATCATTTAATTAGTAAAATAATAGTATAACATTATTTTATAGGATATACATATTAAATTATAAAAGTTAATAATTTATTTTTAATTTATTAAATTATTCGATATTTACAATAAATATTTATATCAAGCCAAAGAGAAACTTTAAAGCAAGAAAAAAAGAAAGCATGCAATGAAAATGTCTTATCGAATCAAAAATATTTTTTTCAAAAGCATAAATTGACTTGGAAACAAAAAAAAAAAGAAACAGATGCCATGCAGAATTACTTACACGTAGCATATGTTTTTTGAATCAATCATTTCCTCGTTTTTTTTTAAATACTAATTCAATGACACATTAATTTTTTTCGTTACAAAATTATAGAAAACAATAATAATTTTCCATAATTCGCAAAATTTTATAAAACCTGATAATCATTATTCCCAGAAAAAAAATCATATTTCTTTCTAATTTTAACTATTTCAGTTAAAAACCGAAATTTTACAAATTGAGATTCTTTAATTAAAAATTCAATAAATTCTGCATAAAAAATTCAGTGAATTTTAAATTAAAGATTCAATAAAATTCTGAATTAATAATTCAATAAATTCTCTCATTTAAAATTAATTTTCCCTTACTATACTTACTATAGGTATGCTTTTATTTTATTTATTTTATTATTTATTGAATAATATTTATTTTACTCTACTTTCTCTTTAACTCCAAAAAAAAAAAATAATTTCCCCTAACACAATTTTTCCAAGGCACGTAAATTACAAAGCAAATTTTCAATATTATCAGTTCCAAAATTTCCTTTCATTATATTACCTACGTAGCAAGCAGGGACAATATTTTATGCTAAAGTTCATAAAGTTACTTGACAAAAAATATCGAGTTAGGTCATTTAAAAATTAAGTTAATATTCAAATTAGTTTATATTAAAATTATGTTAATATAAATATTAAAGAAGTATAAAAATAAAGTTAACATAAATGTAAAGAAAATATAAAAACAAAGTTAATATGAATATTAAGTTAGTATAAAAATTAAGTTCCAAACGTTAAAATTATTTTATTTTATTTATTTTCACTATTTATTAAATAATAATATTTATTTATTTACTATTATTTTTATTAATTTATTATTTTTCAATTATAATTGTAAATTACTATTTATATTTAGAAAATTATAGTTTATTACTTTGCTAATTTGTTAATTAGTTAATAATTTATTAATTTGTGACTTTATCAATTTGTCAATAATTTATTAATATTAATTTTATAACAAGAATTACAAAAGGAAAACAAATATATAATTGAGATAAAGGAAAGAAAACGTGAATTCAGCAAAATAAGGACGAAAACTTGTTTCAAAAAGGGAAAATAAAATTTTTTTTTCTAAATAGACCTGTGGAAAAAGGAGTTTCGATCGGTCAGACCGGGAGATTCTTGTTTGTTTCTGTTGGAAACAGGGTTGCCAGACCTCCAGAATTTTCAACTGGACACATAAACCTTACACTTTCTGTATACTTTGACCAGCATCCCAAAATTCATTCACTTATTATATTTATTTTTTATTTATTTATTAAATAAAAAATGGTTTTCAAAAAATCAATAATTTTTCATCACTCACCGATTCTGCATATTTTCATTTTGTTGTTAGGCTCATCGTTTATTCCTCACTTACTGAAACAAACAATCAATTTTCATTGTTAATTTCTTTGCACAATTATAATAAATTATGTTTGATTTTTTAATAGAGTTATTAAAATTTTTATTTTTATACAATTATATGTAAATATTTATCAATATTTATTTTTAATAACTATTGTTTTCTATTGTTAACTATTGTTTTTTTATTTTAATATTTGTTTTTTATTTCTATTTTATTTTTAATATTTGTTTTTTA